CTGATAAGTCTGGAGCTTTGTTTGTTACAGAGTGCAGTCTCTTTCTAATTTAAAGTTAAAAAAAATAGTGGATACATGTTACATGAAGAATAATGTAAATCCAGCACAAGCTTCTGATTAGTAGCTTCTGATTAGTTGAAGCGTGGCCTGTTAAACTTCATGTTCTTTGGGTGACAATTGCTTTTATCTGTTCCATATTGAATCAGCAAACCCTCTTCTGCAACTTTAGTATTAATTATTAGTTGATGTAGCTTTAAATGGTTGACCAGTGAGCATGTTAATTCTCTTTATAAATCCAAATGTGCTGCACATTTTAATTAAGCATTTATACAGTAACTTTCAGCCAAACCAGCAATTATCAGATGTTGCCAAATACTCATCCTGAAAGCAAGTTTCTTCGTGGATATAACTTACCTGCTTTATTTCAGACCCTGGAACAATCTGAACTGTGAAAAATATTTGGTTAACTTGAATATTGTTTGAGATATCTATCAAAAGAAGAAAGGTTTTCTTTTTTGAATTCCAATATTTTATTTCTCTTATTGCACTTTTTGGATCCTGACATAAAGAGGACACCTTAGGACAGGAAGAATAAGAAATCACTTCATAAGAGAACACACTCACATACTAATCTGACAGTATGAGTTCAAAGACTTCTTTTCCCTTTACAATCAAAATTCAACCCTTTGCTTGGCCACCCACAAAACGGTAAAGTTCAATCTACAACTATAATCATATGTTAATAGTTTTAAATAAACATTTGTCCAGAATTTCAATTGAGGGTAAACTGTAGTTATTGTTGACACTGTATATTTTTCTTTCTAAAACGCCTACGCTTTTCGACTTCAAAGTGCCTGTTTTATTAGACAAGCCAAGTAAAGCCCAAAGACATTTAGAGTCATCAAAAATGGATAAAAGCAGAATGTGCTCCACAGTCTGAAGCCACTAAATATACAGAATGTTTGTCTAATAAATAACTTAAATACATAATTTAAACATTACAGTTTCAAAGATGTTTTCTTTCTGGTATGAAGCGATTCAACTCTAATCCCACCAAAACTTTAAGCTTGCAAAGACTGAATAAATTAAAAGAAATCTAAGGTGACAACAAGTTTTTCTAAATTGTTTGACCATCATGAGAACATTTGGAGTTAATTTTGAAAAAAAAAAAAAAACAGGAAGATTTGCTCATAGTTTGACCTGCTTTAGCATAAATAAACATAAGAAGCAAAACAAGAGCATGACCTGATGCCACAACTAAGCAAACATTGTATGATAAAAAATTTGTTTTAAGTATAAGGAAACATGAAACAGATAAAGATATATCTCTTTATAATGCATGTAGCATGGATATGTTTACCATTCTTGCCAGGCTGTGCGATCACTTCAAATGTAAATGTTACTAAAGAGATCAGAGAGAAAACCAGGTCTTGCTGTTAAAGCAGCTTTATTTGGACTGAAAGCTTGCTGCTGGTAAGAAACAGGAATACGATGTTAAGGATCTGTATTAACTAATTGAATATGCTGTATTTTCTGAAGGGCAACATAAGTCTGCTGACTGATTTTGTGGAAAAATTAAAGAAATTCATGGAAAAGAATCAGCCCAAGAAACGTGAAGATCAAGGATAATTATTTTTTGCAAAAATCGTTCTTTTGATAAAGTTTCCTGAATTTCTTCTGCTACAGTGGATATACATTGTCTACAAACCTCCATGTCTTGAGGTTAGCGTAGTGTGTTGGAAGCCCCAGTGCATAAAATCTGCTCCTATCTGGTGGTTTGCTAAATAAATTACAAATGACCAAAAAGCAAGCTCTGGTGCCTTGCCATTAAGCTGGTTATAACTACTAAAGAAACCAAGGGGTGTCAATGTTGTGACAATCTCAACATCCTGCACAAGTGCAAGTGTCACCACATAGTTTAACAGTAGACCACCCCAACCACAATACTTGATTTATGCAAGCAAAAAACTAAATTAGTGAAAAAATCTCCCATTAAGGGGATGTATTGTATATGTAGGGGTTTGTGTTTGATTTCCTACAAATATAGAATGCATTTAAGGTGTTGCAGCATTCAAAGTATGTTTGCTGTTTAACAGACAGTACATGCTTGGTGCCAAAACTACTTTTTGCCACTATTTAAAAAAACGTATTATTTTGGAGTGAACAATAGTTCCAATGTCATCCTATTCCTTCACCACTTTGTTAAATTAAAGCATTATTACTTTCTTTTCACTCCCCATCAGTTTACGTGCACAGATATGCAGTGTAGGTTTACAGTTGTACCATACTGCTTTTACGTTAGATAATGGATTCAGCAGTACATAGGATGATTGGCTTTGTGTAAATTAGTCCACTTGCAAAAAGTACAATTTGAATGTGAACAGAACTGAACCTATTAAAAACATCTCAGATTTTGCTTCTGGTTAGATTGTAGGTCTTTTCTGTTCTGAATACACCTTATATTATTAAATTTTAAGAAACATCCTTGCTATATTATAGTAAATGTATGTGTTCAATCAGGGAACGTTTTTTATAAGAGAATTCACATATTTTAAAATTCAGTTAAAATACGTTGGTTTACAGTACTGGGTTCCCACAGGGAACAGTGCTGGCACTATTCCTCTTAACCATCTACACTGCAGACTTCTCCATCAGTTCCAAATGCTGCCACCTCCAGAAGTTCTCTGACAATTCTGCCATAGTTGGCCTCATCACAGGTGGGGTCAACTCAGAGTACAGACAGTGGACCCAGAACTTTGTGCCAGCAGAACCACCTTCTGATTAATACAGGAAAAACCAAGGTGCTAGTGGAGGACTTTCGCAGAAGCAGATCGACCCCACTGACACCAGTGAACTTCTAGGGAATGGACATTGAGATAGTGGACTCTTATAAGTACCTAGGTGTTCACCTGAATAACGAACTGGACTGGATGAGGCTCTGTATAAAAAAGGTCAGAGCAGACCCTTCTTGCTCAGGAGACTCAGGTCTTTTGGAGTACAGGGTGCACTCCAAAAGACCTTCTATGCTACTGCTGTGGTATCAGCCATCTTCTATGGAGCTGTCTGTTGGAGCAGTGGCTTATCTGTTGCCGAGAGAAAGCGACTGGATAAGCTGATCAGGAAGGCCAGCCCTGTGATTGGATGTCCTCTGGACTCAGTGCAGGAGGTGGGAAACAAAAGAACCCTAACTAAAATAACATCTCTGTTGGAAAATTTCTCCAACCCCATGCGTGAAGCTGTTGCAGAACTGTAGAGCTCCTTCAGTGACAGACTGCTGCACCCTAAATGCACCAGGGAGCGTCATCACAGATCCTTCCTCCCAGCAGCTGTAAGACTTTAGAACCACCACTGTTCCCAACAACCTCAATAAGTTTTTACATTCATGCTGATTTTGCACAGTTTCTTCATTAGTCAGTTAAATAACATGCTTCTGACATTTTGCACATCTCTGATGTTGCTATTTTCAAATATCCATTACTGTAAAAATGTCCACAGGTGTATATGGGTTATTTATTCTCCAGGTGCACAGTATTTATATTGTTAAAACAGTATTTAATTTGCGTTATTTCTTAACTCTTCACTATTATATTATTCTTATACATGTTTCTAAGGTCCACATTTGGGTGATGATTTTTCTATAATCTTTTTACTGCTGTAAACACCAGAATTTTCCCATTGTGGGGCAATAAAGTAATTTTCTATTCTGTTCTTTTCTAACAATTCTTTCTCACAAATATGTAATGGTTCTGGGTTATTTTTCAAAATATGTACTTCTCCGTGGCCACGTAGTTTTCTTTCTTTCAGTTTTTTTTCTGCAATGCTCCTATGGCCCTCTAGCTATTTTATTTTGCTCTTTTACAAATAAGGTATACTGAATTTTGTATTTGTAACATGACTGAAGTTTAATAATTTCCTAATTGCCTAATTATAATTTTTTTAACACTTTGACTGAAACAATAGCCATGGTACATGCATTCCTCACTTATTGTTACACCAATAAAACTAAGATCTTAAGAAAAGTTGGCTTATTTTATAAGTTTTTATTTTGTTAGTTTTTTTCATTTCAACAAAGCTTTAAATACCTAAAAAACTTGATTGAGCCCAGATGTCACATTCAACTTTAGGTGGAGTAAAGCAAGATTATTTGTATGGCATATTGCAGAAGTAAGCCAATCCAAAGTACAGCTTATGTTCAGAACATAGGAACAGCTTAGAAAATTGCATCCACACAAGTGTACACAGTACCAATGACGATGCTTTTGGACATATGCCAGGCACGTTGGTGGCACTGCTGTTGTGTTTACCTTGCTCATGGGAGGTAAACAAAGCAACACGGTAGCAAGAAGGCACGTGCTGGATATAGATGAGGATGCAACTATGACATCCCTTTCAGAAAAAAGATTGTCTTTTAAAGTGAATAATTTCGTTGAAGTGGTACACAGGATATGAGAATCATAAAGCTCCATTCAGACAGTTTTTATCACATTTGCTATTGGCAAGGATTTAAGTGTTCTTACAAATTTGCTGAATTCAAACCATGGTCCCTGTTTGACTACTATAACCTATATGTGTTTCTTTTCACATTTAATTATTGAAAGCTCTCCAGATTTGGTACATTTACTTTCTACCATTGTTAGAGTTCCTTTTGTGGACCCCACTACTGTTAGGGCTATCATTTGCTGTATATGGATTGGCCTGCAACTCGCATGTAGGATACACACTGAAACATAAAACTAGCATTTTGAAAGTTGTCCATTCTGTGACCTGTTTCCAAAAATGATTGTTCATAGTTTGTCTAATCTGTTTGGGTGCACAGCTTAAATGATAAATTACCTTTGCAAGTAATCTTGTGTCTATGTTGATCATTCCTTAACGAGCCACAGATTTTCTGTATTCCCCAGAGCCTTGCTCTGTTTTGTTGTTATTTTTGTGTAAACAGCAGTAGGTGTTTGATGGCTTTTTAAACAATGTTCTCCTAGTGAAACACTCCTTCTTTCTAGGAGCGCATTGTGAAGTGAACATCAATGAGTGTCTTTCCAGCCCATGCCAAAATAATGGAAGATGTATTGATGAGACTAATCAATATCACTGCTGGTGTCCTGATGGCTTCATAGGGCTCCACTGTGAGTCCAACATTGATGAATGCATGTCAGCTCCGTGTCTTCATGGGAGGTGCGTACTTTTCCCTTTCTTTCAACAAAAAAATAATGATTATTGGATAAAATTATAAAATGACCCCCTTGCCAACAAGGCAGGAACTACTTTTATTTTGTGGTCATACTTAAGTCACGATTATCAACTTAGCTAAAGAGAGATTATTACATTCCAAACATTATATTGATTTCTGTATAAGCTTTCTCCGTGACATATCCATCAATAAGACTTTCATTAAGAAAGCTTCATATATATTTTTTTTTTTTCTGCTTTGCTACGGGATCCAATTTTGACCTTATCTGTTTTTCTCCCCCAGCTGTAAAGATGGAGTAAATTCATACACCTGCCTTTGTAAAACGGGTTGGACTGGCATCAGATGTGGAACAAACATTGATGTGAGTTTAGTTTAATTAATAAACCTGGTGGGTTTTCAGTAGAAAATGCCAGGAGCCTTTTGTAGTCTTTGTGTGGCCTTTGGTATCATTACCTCTATTGACGTGTTTGTGAGATAAGTCAATTGGTCTACCAGGATCATGTAAACATTGTAGAAATACCTGATTAAAAGGAATTGGCTTAGTGGAAAGCCTAATTGATTTAAATCAAAGCTCTCTGCTGGACTCCAGAGATAAAATATAGAATTGCTTACTGGCTTTCTGTATATTCAGTAAATTAACTATTAACAAATTACTTTCCTTGGTGTTTAGCCTAAACTAAAATTATGGTATACAATCTTCTATGTTGTGTTGTTGTCAGTTGAACCTACAATATCTTTCAGGACTGTGCCTGCAATCCCTGTGTAAATGGAGGCTCCTGTGTGGATCTCATTGATAAATACGCATGTTTCTGTCTGGATGGATTCACAGGAAAGACTTGTGAAACTGACATAGATATTTGTAAAGACACCTCTTTTAACGTCTCACTGTGCTTCAATGGAGCCACCTGCATCGATGGTGAAGGATCAAACTTCACTTGCATGTGAGTTTGCATACTGCATTTTTTGTTTCTTTGACATTCAATGATTTTATGTAGACTGAGAAAAGCAAATATTTTTCAGTTGACATATAACTCCAAGTTATCTAATATTTAATTAAATAGATTTTGGACTGCCATGTCTTGTGCTGTAAACACAACAGGCTGTGTCTTAGAAGAAGAAGTCTGGTTCAATCTTAACTCATGGAAATACAGTAAGCTCTGCACATATATGGAATACATTCACAATTACCATTCAAAATATCATCATTTTTTAACAATTAGATAATTCAACTCCACACCAAATACTTCATTTTAAAAACACTTATCTAAGCCAGTGAAACTCAACTATAACTTAACTGCTCTTATATTCACAAAGTAAACGACAAATAAAAATGGTTGAAAACCTAAGTCTATAGCACCTGACAATACCTCTACCCCGAACTAGCAAACATCTTACACCATAAATAAGGCATGACTTTACTGTACCTTTAAACAGGCAAAGTCAACTTCAGCAAAAATACTTCTAAATTTTTGGCTTGTTATAATCTCCCTAACAGAAGTTATGATCTATTCCTGTTTTTAGTAGGCAGTTCTAAAGTGATGACACAAAATAACAATACAATTTTTCTTCAAAACTAGTCCATCAGTAGACACGCAAAATGTGGAGTAGATATAAGGGAAGTAACCAAATGTCTGCGCTAACCTCTAAATTGAGCACTATATAGGGGTTACACCATTTTACATGAGCATGTGAATGTCTCTTGGATGAAAAAGTAGTGCACTCTGTGCACCCCTCACAAAGTATCATGGGATTTGATTTTGGGGCAAGAGAGAACTAGGATGGTGCTATGCTTCTAAGGTACTATGCGAGGAGCCGAGTCACTTGACTAAGGGGGGTTCAAAAGTAGAGATCATCTGTTCGAATGGTCAATTCACTTAGAGCATTCTATAGCCCCGTTCTATATAGTGATTGACAGGTTAGGGCTGACATTCAGAAACAGCCAATTATTCACTACTGATTCACATATTCCGGGGAGTGCACATGAGTACAATTTATTCTAGTAGAGTTCTTTATAGAATCTCAAACATCACACATATTCAGTTTGAGGCAGATTCGAAAATGCATGTCGGATTTACAGCCAAACATATCCAAATGGCAAGAGATGAAAATTCAACACTGCAACACTATAAGGTTCAGCAAGAAGTCGGTGTTTAAAGAGGGTTTAGCAGATTTTTTGTTTCTTTTATGTTGTGTCAAAACTTGTGTGAACTGCAGTGTAAAGAGAAAAACTCCACCAGTGAATGACGAGACTTCCTGTTTATAGGGGTTGTGCTAAACTGATGTCAGTTAAAGCGCATCTGTATCTTTTAAATGCTGGTCTGATATGACTAACAGGAACTGTGATGAAGCTCTTAACTAGTGCGTGTAAGTTATTACACCATTTTCTTTTTATCAATTAAAGTTAGATCATGACCATACCCAGATGCTTTGATGCAGGGTGAGGTGATGCAGTTTCTGGAACATCCAAATTATTCCTGAAAAACTGTCTGGATCCAGTAAAGTGATGGCGAGGGGACTTGTTTGGCTATCTACTCAGGTCTCAGTTTTTTTTTTAATTGGTGCATTCCGTTTAACCTATGGCTCCTGTCTAGAATGTTGTCTAAAATGTTGTGCTCCGGAGTATTAAATGATATCAGTGTTTTGTGGGAACAATTAGAAAAAAAAAAGGATTTATTGGATAAAGCTGAACATAAAATATTGCAAAAACCCACATGAATCAGTAAATATTTCCGTCTGATTCAAAAACCTGTTCTTAAGTGCATCTTAATCATTTTAAAGTTGAAATCATTGTCAGTGATAGGGAGCTTAATTTGCTCCAATTAAAAATGCATCCAGTCTAATAATAATTGTTGCTGCAGTACATCTGTGCCTTGCATCAGTTCTTCAGGTTGTTTGCAAGTGAATCATTACTTTTTAATTGCCATCATGCTATGCCTTGAGTGATGAAGTGGATCTAGATACAAGATGAATGCAGGGCTACTATGCCAATTCGACTCAGCAGATCCTCGGTTGCTGTACAGTTAATTACTTTACCTAACCTTGTGCTGTTGTGCTGCTATATGCTTGATGTAATGATTTATATGACAATGAATACTGTTACTCCAAGTAGTGTGTTGCTGTTTACAGTGTGAAGTGATGACACAGTGCACTGCCTGGGTAGCATGTTTTAAATGATGCTCCTCTGATTTAGAGTTGCTTCTATAATATTACATTACAGGGATGCAATTTGTCCTTTGAATTTGCAAATAAAATGAATGGGCTTTTGCTTATTGTTTTAGCTTGATGGAGAGAAGCTGCAAGAAAAAAAAAGGAAAATTATTGACACCATTGAATATGAAATAGAAAGGTAGAATCTCATAATTTAAGATAATATGACCTCCTAAGTGTTGTACAAAAACTCTCTGTAAAAGATATTAAATCCTAAAGTCATTTTGTGGGTTTACAATTATAAATTGTTAAAGGTATTACTTTATAGCAGATGTAGAATTTCCCAAGGGATGTTTTAGATTCCATAAACCCAGCAAGACTTCATGCTTTTTCTCTACATTTTCCGTTTTGACCTTCTACAGTCTGCCTTATTATTTAGCATTTGTCTTGCTCCCAGTTGGAAATTCATAGAGGTTTAATCCTTAGATTTTTGGCCTCCTTGGCCTCAGATTTGCAGAACCTTTGATGCATGATCAAGCTCTCTGTCCATCTGGAAAATCACAGTTTTTCACCAGGAGGTAGAAACACAGTGGGATGGATGTGCAGAATTTAAAAGTGATTTAATTTATACAACAAATAGCTTATTTTCTTATATACCTTTCTTAAAAATAAAATAATAAAGAAAACTGTTAAAAAAAAAAGGTATGCGTGAAAATCAGCATTTAATTTATTTGGGTCAATTTAAAACAATATTTCTGAATTAATGAAACCCAACAAGCCAAAAGAGTTGAATTTTTTTGTCGCATTGACCTAAACATTTTATGGATATCAGTTCATGTTTTATTAATCATTTTGAATTTCCAAACTTCTGCACAATCATCACATAACCAAACAATATAATGCAGTAAACAAAACAGAAACATTTACATTTTTCTTCAGATCATTTCCAGACAAGTTCATCATTCAAAAACTTTAGCATTCTGTTCATACCACCATATTGTTACATGCCAGCAAATGAGTTAAATGTAATAAAAAATCCATGTTTGGAAGCTCTTTGCCAGGTGCATAAACAGAGCAAACCACTACAAAATCTGGTGCTCTGTTAATATTTGATATTTAATATTTTTGTTGCTCTACACTTTGTTGCACATTTTATTATTGAATGTATGGTAGGGAGGGAAAGGCATATAGTGCATGTCTGTGGTTTAAAATAGACAAATTGACCAGATTTTATATATAGTATTTTTTTTAACCCTGAGAGATGCAATCTTTTTGTCAAAACAGTATGTAACTGTCACATACGATAGCAACCCATCTTTCAATCGAGGTTCAACTATTAGCCGTTTTCTTGTTTTGGTTTACTTTTTGTACTAAGCTAATCTTTTTTATTTATCACTGTCATTCAACTTATTTAATATATGACCTAGATAAATAGTAGTATAATTAAAAACAATTTTAATAACAAGAACATTTCAATGTGATTGTTTATTTCCTTCCAATACCTTCGAATTATCATCTGAAAAATTTCCACAAGCTGCTCCATTAGTTGCACAAAATCTCCAACAGACATCAGGATGTGACGGATAATTTCAAAATTTTTTGTTTGTTTGTTTTCAACAGAATACATTTTTAGCTGGGCATACACTTTACAAGTTTTTGCTCTTTTCGGACTGATTTTCCAGTGGCGAGAGAATTTTTTTGGATCGAGCCGAGTTTCAGCCTCATCATGCATCCTGCGTTATGTGATATATAGGCAGTAAGGGAGGGGCGATTAGCCTGTCACGACCACCTTCCAATCAGGAATCGTTAGGTCGGGAGAAATTCAGTTAGCCCTTGTAAGGTGTTAGTGGGGAAATCCTGCTGTTGAAGCAGAGCTATGAGAGTCTACGAGCCGATTTACTAAAACCTCATGAAACGCACATGTGCAAACAAAGGATTTCTTCTTCCAGATTGACAGTCCCACTTGTGGTTTTTGGATGTGTGAGCAGCTAAATCGCATCAGAGCATCTGGCTGCACAGTGTAAGATCATGCATAATGAAGTGTTAACTTTTAAACCCTGCGATTTTGTTGTACAGTTTGAGCTGTAGCTGAGAACAACAATTGCAAATATCGCACAGAGTATGCCCGGCTTATGTGTTACTGATCTCTATAAAGGACCACTAAAGCTTGCACTGTTTCCCAAATACTTTGTATTTCAGTTATTTCTGGATGGTTTACTAAAGACAAGCTGTTTGTTGGCGACTACTTCCTCATCATCTGTCCAGAATGTTTGACATTACCATAGCTCGATTACTTGACCTTAGTCCAGGCACTGTGCATGAGCTTGTCAAAGTTTACCCTCCAGGCTCTTTCTAGTTCTTGTCTGAGGCCTTGGTATTTTCCAATTTCTCATGTTCTTTTTTCCTGATGTTTCCATAATTTCTGATGACCACATTAATCACTACAGCCATCCTCTGCTGCATATCAATGATCACAATGTATGTTTGGTTGGCCACAGCCATTTTGTCTGCATCTGAAGTATCTGGAAATCCCACAGGATCTTAGCTCTGTCCTTCCAATTTCAATCACAAAGCTTTCACCTCTAAAAAGTAAAAGAAGCCTACAGACTAGAACCACCAGGCTCCAGAAATGCTTCTTCTCCACAGCTGTCATGCTCCTGAACGCCTCCTGACACCAACTATAAGGACTGTACCCCCCACCCAACCCACACATACAAAACATACATAGTCGCAACAACCTACTAATCCGACACCATGTACATGTATTTCTCAACTAAAGCTGTATATAATCTGTAAATCTTTTATCCACTATTATCTCTCATTATCTTGCATTATAACCCCATTAATATATATACAAAATCCATATCCTAACTTTCCTGTATAATCTGTATCTACAGTAGCTTCCCCTATTTATCTATTTTATAGCCTCTTACAATTACTTTCTGTTTGTATATACACTTTATAGTCCATACATACATAGTTTCTGTACACATGTAAATAAATATTTATTTCCTGTGTAGCACTTCTGGATAGCTATGCAAATTACATTTAATTGTTTTGTACTCGTGACAGTGTAATGACAATAAAGTTGAATTCTATTCTAATAATTTTCATACTAAGATTGCTTATTATTCTATATGACATAATTCAACATTGTAATCAATTCAACAAAAAATTACCACATAATATTCTAAGTTCTGATGCCCTACTTTGAGGAACACTGCTCTAGAGAGTCGGATTGCCTGATAAACCAATCAATATCAGGAAACCTTGGTGATTCCTTTTAATTCTTCCATTTCAACATCCTCCAGCAGAGCAGCATCCATACCACACCATCACGTATGGCTGTCACAGCAGTTTTAAAGTGTTTATAGCTTTCAATGTGAATGCCTTACAGGTAGTTAAATTTGATCTGTGGTGCACCTCACCTTGTTGATCATCGGCGAGAGGAATGTGATGTGAGAAAACATTTATATATTGCGCAAGCTTGGTCCTTGTATATATTTATGGTTGACCAGCACAAGCACGAGCTACACAGCAATATTGATGCTTATGATGATGTCGATCTATGAGTGTTTCATATATGATAGTCGATGAACGTCTGAGAGGTCTTAAATCTGGCTTAAATTCTCCACCTCACCATCTGTCATTGTTTTCTGCTCTCCTTCAAAATGTGTGCATGTACTTGTCAGAGTTGGTATGAGGGACCAGACGTTTCCAGACCAACATTTATTTGATAGATCACAATTTTTGTGTGAAAAGTAACTTATCCAAGTTTAAGGCCTCATTTTGTGGGTGCTTGACAAATCAAATCTCTGATGAATATTCTCCTTTACCATTCTTCAAAGCTTGATTTTAGTTTCGAGGGCTTCTCACAAAGAAAATATGATGATTGAAGGAGGTGCTTTGCATTATATACCAGGCACTAATTAAAGGTTATAAAGTAGAGCGGTGACCTTTTGCTTTATATTAATAAATAGCACAGTGTGAACATGGTTCTAATATTAAATGGATAAAATGTATTTGAAATTGTACTACTTACATTATTTTTCTCCTGTCAGGGTATTTTTTTTCCTTTGCCATGATTTCCTCTCTAAATTTCATCTAAACTTCCAAACTAATCTGTTGAATTGATCAAAATTGAACTGGCTGACTGCTTCCTTTGTTAATTTGTTGCAAAAGAAGTCATTCTTACGCACAGTATTTCAAACTCACAAAAAAGTGACAGCCCAGAGAGATTGCCTAATGGTTTATTTAAACTATCATTTTTTTAGTTGTCCACCAGGTTTCATGGGGGATTTCTGTGAAGTGGATATAAACGAATGTTGCTCAGCGCCGTGCCAGAATGGTGCTGTTTGCCAAGATCTTATTAATAGCTACGTCTGCCACTGCAGGTCAGGTGAGTCATTCTGATATCCTGTGATTTTCTCAGTTTGCCTCAAAAATAATACAGTAGTTTTTCCAGTTCTAAGATCTTTTAAAGGCAGCCTTTCCAGTTGTGAATACTTTAACATAACCTAAATAGCAGTAAGTCTTTACATCTTGGTGAGCAAGAAGACTTAAGTCTCTATAATGTCCTAGATGTGGTAGAGGGGAGCTTAAAGGCTGTAGTAACTTACAGATCACCTTGCAAAAAGTCTGCTGAAAGGTTACTATCAAGTCTACATACATACTGTCCTCAAAGCTACTCTGAGGTCACTTTTCTCCACGGTGATATTTACTGTCATACAGTAGGAAAAAAAACAGTGATTAAAGAACAAAATGACCTTATCTCGTTGAAATGGATGTGGCATCTTACTCTTTAGTGAAAGCCTTTTCTTGTCCCTGTATGTGTGTGTGAACCCAAAAAGAAGCAAATCAATGTAAGCGAATCTGATTGATATTCACTTCAGAGGGTGGAAGTGAGAGAGCACAGGCTCACTACAGCACTCTGTGGGCTTTTGTTCCTGGCAGGTTGGACAGGCCTTCACTGTGAGGATGACATTAATGAGTGCCTTCCACAGCCCTGCAACCAGGGGATATGCATCCAGAATGATCCAGGCTATGGCTACACCTGTTTCTGTCGTCCTGGATTTGTGGTGAGGCTCTTCCACTTTATACTCTTACCCTACCTCTTTAAACTAAACTTGGGTTAGTTACCAGTTTCCTCTGAAGTAAAAACTTTTAAGTACTTTCTTGTCAGTCAAATAATTTGTTTAATCTTTTTCATTTTCTTGTTTCTTAATTATTCGATGAAAAAAATTTATAAAATCATACTGTTATCTTTGTAAACATAGATATACTTAGGTTGTCTGGTACTTTCTACGATGATGTTTTTTAAATGTAAAAAGCTATTAACCACTTTGACGATTCAACTTTAAACATCAGACCTCATTTAATAATTCAGTGTATGGTTGAACAACATATCTCATTGCTATCTAATTTATGTAAACAGGGAAGAAACTGTGAGCAGAACTATGATGACTGCCTGCCCAATCCATGTCCAGAAGCTTTTTCCTGTTTAGATGGCATAAACAAGTTTAGCTGCATCCCTCCCATTATGGTTCCTGTTCCCTTGGTGACGCCAAGCACGAACATCACCCACAGTTACACACCCGGAACACTGATGTCAACGCTAAGCCCAGTACCAACTGCTGAATTATCCACAGGTATAGACCATGTTGTGTGCTTGTTAAAATTTTAAAGTGGAAAAATAGCGATACAAATGACGTGTCCTACTTCATATGTCACTTTATGCTTATTATAATATTTCCTTTAGGGTGTTTTTTTTGTGCAAGAAGGAAACCTCATCCTTTATTCATATTTTCCATTTCCATTTACTTAGACAAACAAACTCTCTAGAAAATACAGAGATTGTTTTTCAAATTTCCCTACTAACTTATCAAAAAGTTCAAAACTATACAATTAAGTAAAAGCAAAAACAACAATCAGTCAAAAAGGTAAAGGTAAAAAGAACAGAAAATTGTAGTATATTTTAGAATCTTTTCCCATCGAAGGTGACATTAGGATAACTTCAGAAAACAATTTTACAAAAACTCACTTTCCAAGAAGTCCCCTTCAGTGGAAAATCTTAAAACTATATGCTTATACAGTAAAAACAGAAACGTTAAAATCACATTTTGATCTTAAAACTGACTAGACTTTTCCTCTGTCACATCTGTTATTTTTATGAAAATTAAATCAACAAGAGGAGGATTTTATTTAACTGGAACTTTTCCTCATCCTCTCTTCATATTCAGACATTTAACTACAGACCGGTAGGCCTTTAAAAAAACAATTATTGGTTGTTTTGAACTTCTGGTTTTAGACAGGTTTTAGAATTCAAATACACAAATTCAGGACTCCTAAAATTCTGATTAATCCTTGGCTTCTATTACCTAAAGGTGACCCTAATATTTTCACGGTTACACAGTAAACCAGTGAGATAGGCTCTAAGTTCCTGAGTTGAGAATTGTTTGATCCAATATATGCATTTAAAGGGGTCATAGAATGATTATATAGGGTATCTGGTCCTTAAGGTCTCTGAATAGGGTGTGTAACATTGGTTGAGCTGAAAATGGCATATTTGCTGTTCTATGCACCCTAATGCAAGCCTGGGTAAGAGCCCCAGAATGAAACAACAGTTTTTCTTCCTTTTATGGTATGCTAATGAATACTCAAATGAGCTGTGAGCTGATTGGTTGGTTTACAATGAGCAAAGCTGCTTAGCAAAGACGCATCATAGCAGCAAGCACTCATTCACCGAAACATCAAATTGTTTATATGGTAGGGTGACCAGACATCCCCTTTTTCCCAGACATGTCCTACTTTTCATAACTAAAAAAATGTCTGGGGGGAATTACAAAATCGTCTGAGATTTTGGTCGACTACAGTGCAGCACGTTGTCGAAACAGGGAGCCAGTGGGGGACGGAGCGACCGAACCTGACCTGGGGATGGTAGCTTCCCCCTGCCTTACTGGGCAGTCGGGGGGGAAGCATACTGTCACCTGGTTGGGTTTGATCAATCCATTTCCCGCTCGGGCCCCCCACGAATTGACGTCAATTCAGTGCTTCGTTTGAATTTGCCCATTTTATGCTGGAAGTTTAGAATTGTGAGATTTGCAGAGAAAGGAGGTATCGATGGGGTTTGACCTTATTGTACATCCATTTCACACATTGAACTATCGTCAGTCATCTATGACAATGTAAACTCAGTTTTGCATTCTATGACCCCTTTAAAACTCCCCAACATCAGCAAAACACTTTAGAACTATGCTCATTTCAGCTGGTAAAATAGCTTAACCACCCATAAAAAAAATGAGTTCTGTGTTTTTGGGGGATCAAACTAAAATGTACTTTTTTGGCCATAATAATCATCTTATTTTCTAAAAATCTATAGGCATAATGGTTGGTGTGCATCAAAGCAAGTCAGATCACGATGCTGAATAAGTTTAAGCACTTTGGTCGGGAGAAATGAAAAAAAAAGTTACAGCAAACTCTCACTTTTGAGAAGGTTATATAAAGGTATTCTAAACACTTAAACAACTAATTTCAAAGGCATTAGATTTTAATGAAATATATGTGAACTTATCAATAAGAGTTATGATTACATATTATCATATAATTTGGAGTTTCACCAATACAAACTTTGGTCAAACTCTTCCTTCTACATTAAAATAACATGGATGTTGGTTATACTGTACACACGTGATCTCTCCTTTGGCTCCTGTTCTATGAAGTGGAGAAGACTTTAATTTGGCCAGCAAGTCCTGAACAAATATCTAGGTTTCTTTTTTTTATGACTTAAGTCTTTTCTGTTGCACAATTACTGTGCATGCAAGATATTTCCGTGCTGTAATTATATAGTCCTATGCCGTCATTGGGATGCCTCCTTCTTAGAAGCTCTCTTGGGTTGGGCTTGCGTAGCTTGAAACCCAGGTTTGAAATCTGTGACTGATGGGATTTTCAGTTACACTTGGCTTTGTATTTGTTTTATGATGAATTTTCTGTAAATTTTAAAACATCAAGACCTGATAAAGAAATCGGTATTGCTATTTCCACTCACTGCAAAAACAATCCAGAAATAAGTAAAAAATGGCTTAAATTAAGTATATTTAGCCTTAATTTGAGCAGGTAAATAAGATGATTTGCCAATGGAATGAGTATTTTCACTCTTAAAATAAGATAGTTAGATAATATTTACTTGAAATAAGACGATAAAATAGTTTTTTCTTATTTTAAAAGGAAATTGTCTTGTTCCATTGGCAAAGTGTCTTACTTACCTCCTCAAATCAAGAAAAAACACACTTATTTTAAGAAAAAATAACTTATTGAGATTTATATTTTTTGCAGTGTGGCTTTGTTTCTAATAAGACACACTTATTAAAAGCAAAACTATTCATGATGGTATTTCTATTTTTCTTGCATTGATGTGTGATGGTTTAACGACTTATAACGTAAAAGGTGATTTTTTTATATTTTTTTAAATATTTCTTTTGAGAAATACTTAAGTGGTCTAACTAAATCTATTTATTATGACAAATGCGACAGACAAGGATACTGCCAAGTAGGAATCAAACAAGTTTCAACATTTTTAAAACATAAGTTTAGCTACGTGACTTTGAACTATTATTTATAAAGATAAACAATAAATGATGTAAAAGTGAGGCCAAATATAAGAGCCTGTTTTTGATAAATAAAAAATCCAGATCTACCATGTCCTTCAAAGCAAACTTAACGACTCACTTTGCCAAATTTGAATGAGGTGAGACTCCCTTAGAGTCCTACTTCAAATTGAATTTTTATAGAGCCATTTGAAAATAACATCGAATGATTTATTAGCTCTGAATCAGATCATCTTAGAAATGATATGCAGCTGTGTCGGCATTCTGTCTAAATCTGGTTTTGTGCTTTCTTCTAAATTGTGCTGCTCTGTTTTTATTTGAGTTAAAGGGGATTCTAACAAGTAATGTGGCTGATCAGTATTTGGTTGTACATCGTTAAGTTAAAAAATGACAAACACTAAACATACATTGTTTTGCGTTATTGCTGTTTGATGCAGTCGTCTATGTAGGAGAAGGAATCTGTGAGTTCGGGACAGATTGTTACTCTGTGACAGATGACGTCTGTCTATATCTGAGACTGTGCACAGAACTGTAAAACAAATCTACTGAACGCAGACAAGCCTGAGCCAATTTATTGTGGCACTTTAAAAATCAGTAGGGGGCCCAATTGTTATTGAGTCCTCCCCACTGGACCTGATCCAGCCAGCTCTTGGTAAGCGCACCGATTCAGAAACGGTTAAAAGGTACACAAAAAAGGTGCTATAGAAAAACAAACCTGAGCCTTGGCACACTGAAACATTCTTTTGCTCTCCTACACAGAAGAGTATAATCAAAGTAAATAAGTTCTAAAGTAAGAGAAGCCACAAACTCGTGAGTTTATCAAACTAGGTCACCATCTAAATACATGCAGTGCCCTTGGTGCTGCTTGAAATAGACTCAGTGCTCCTTTAAACCACAGACTGCTCCACAACCTCTGAAATATATATATCAAGTTAAAGTGATGTCAAAATATAAGAGGCATAATGGCATACTGAATGCATAAGATTTCTATTTTATCCTAATTCTTATGTAAAACCAACTTTCTAAGCTGGTTCCAAGCAAACAAACAAACATTAAGGTTTGAAATGGTTAATTCCTTTGTTGTACATGAAGTGCTTGAATGCATAGTACTGAAAATGTACCCTGTAATGTAAAATCTAATTGGAATCTAGAGGAAAGAGGCTTGCTTCTGCTTAGCTATGATTTAGTCGACTTTCCTTCAAGTGATCACCACAACACAGGTGAAGCTGTTATCTTTTGCTGCCATGTGTTGTGGAAATCAAATTACCCCCTCAAAGCTGTGCAACATCAACTTGATGAGTAAGGAGTTATTCATTTTAAACATCTAGAATCTCTTGGGGCAGTTTCACTATTACTCTCATTTTGTACATCTATTATTTTGTTTTGGAGGTCGATTTAGATGCTGATTTGTAATGACTGGGTCTGTAACTGTTATTATTATTAACTTCAGTTTGCTAGTATTATAACCTTTCCAAATAGATAAAATATCTTGGAAAGATTTTTTCCAAACTAGCTATTTAGCCTAAAGTTAGACATTCTGTGCTTATTAGCAGGTTTTCACTTTTCAGTCCATTTTAGCTGTTATTTCAGCCCTTTATCCAAGAAATTTGAATCAAACAGAGATAAGTATTTCAAAACTTTTTCAAAACATATTTCTAATGGAATTGTTGAAGTGAAATTCACGCCAGATGATGATATTACATCTAGAAAACCACATATTAGAGGAAAAGTCAATAAAATGATGTGCAAAACAATGGAATGACACAGAGAATAAGTATTGAACAGCTTTGCTGAAATATGTTACTGCTCTTCAAAAAGATTTTATTCTTACCCATTCATCACACCAATCTGTTTTTTAATCCTAAAACTTCTGTTTGCCTCTTCGTTGCATTTTAATGATCAGGTTTCCATAGTCTATTGACGGGCCCATTTTACCAGCTTTATATTGTTTCTTCTAAAAAAATTTCAGTTTTTTTGGAATCATTGTCTTGCTAAAAAGAAATCCACATTGTTTGTGCAGGTTATCAAGAATATCTCATACATTC